TCTTTTCTCCCGCCCAGGCAGGGGTCAGACTTGAAGATCTACAAGGTCCCTTCCGACCCTACTTCTATGAGTCTATGACTGCGCAGGTGCTGGTTGCTAGGGCAACCAGTGAAACCTAGAGACAGGAAGGGGTGGAGCTTAGCCCTTCTTAAGCCCAGGCAGGAGGCCAGGAGAAAAGTTTCCCTCCAGCGGCCGAGGGAGGAAGAACTCGACCAGTACAAAAGGGAGAACTCTGACAGTGGGAACATCCCCTGTTGCTGCTGGGGTTGGTGCGCTCTCTCTCTGGTAGAGATGGATTCTTATTTTGACCAGGACAGTCTAACTTTTCTGTTGTAGCCTGGGGGCTTTGTGTTCTTGTGTTTATTGTTTTGACCGGAGGACTGGGTGAGGCTATTAGGGGTTGGAGGAGGCCTCATAGGGACCCCATAGTAGCGTGGGGGTTCCTGGCGCCAAAGAGGGTGCAGCATTGTTTGGGGTGCATTGGCCCCAGCCCCGGAGCCAAGGGGGGGCAGCGAGGAGCCCCGGAGCAGGCACTGGCGAGAAGTCCCAGAACAGGCAGTGCGAGACAAGCTAGATGCCGCCGGTAGGGGCTTGGGCTGTGAGATGAGCTAGAGGGTGTTGGGGAGGATGCAGGCTGAGGGACAAGACAGAGCATCCACGTGGCGTGGAGAGTAGGACAGACCTGAACAACATCAGATACACCTGCAAGGCTTGGGCTGCAGTGTAAGGGGAGGAAAGGAGCCATAGATAGTGCCTCAGGCACTGAGAGAGAAAATAGGCAGCCTCCCACTTGATTAAGATCTTCCAATCAAGCAAATACCAACAAGGCATGGCAGGCGAAAAGGCAGGCAGTTGGCCCTTGATCGGTGTTGCGGGACCACTAATAGACAGCCCCGAAGAGGCACAACTGTCACATAGCCATTAGCCAATCACAGACATCCTTGCAGCAAGTGAGGTTATCAAATTTTCTAGAGTTTCTCCACAACTTGATATTTCTTAATTTCAGGAGTAAAAATTACATCTACATAATGGTCCATGGTAGCCAGATTATACTTTCTTTTTAAAATCCCATTACCAAAAACATAATGCATTATTCTGAGCTGGGTTATTCTTAATGTCTAAAGATGCAAAAGATTTGTAGCCATATTTCATGGAAGTGGCACTTCTTTGTTAACTAGTAAGGATTTTCTAATCAGAGTAAGGAAAATTTACACACTAATATAGATTGTCCAAATTAATGACATTGGATTTCAATTATGCACTGACACTTTACAAGAAGCAGCAACAGAAAATTGTACATTAAAAGGAAAGTCAATTTAAAGCAAATGAATGGACAGGTTCCAGATATGGTGCCTATATCTACAAAATTAGAATTTATCATTTAGGATTAAAACTAGACTTTCCTTGCATAAAAATAGGCCTCTGAAAATTAAGGCAAACACCATTAAATTACAAGGTCAATATTAACAGATAAACTTGTGTATGGCTATTGCACAGTACATTTACCTTCTCCTCTATTTCTTTGAGTTGCCGCTTTTGAAGTTCTATTTTATCTTCTAGCTCTCGAATCCGCTGAAACAAAGCAAAGCAGAAGAAATTTTTTATTTTTCAAACTAATGCGTGTCCAGGAAATGTAAATCATATTTTTTTTTTAAATGGATGGAAATATGCTCATTGATACAAAACTCTTTCTGCTGAGGAATTTATATAGACATAATGTTATGGATCATTGGATACATCCTTATCTGCAGTAAATAAGAATTTACTCGGAGAGGATATGCTTTTCCGACTAAACACCTACCACTGCATTCACTCTAGCTTTTATGGTGTCACTACACATCTGTGAGATACACTTGGGCTTTTCTAATAGTCATTTCACATTGAGATTTAAGAAGCAGCTTTATAGCTTGTCATTTGTAGACAAGCTTGCAGTGAGTGGAAGAGGCAGAAGACTATTTGCCTCACCTCAGCCTCTTGACCACTTAAACTTGGACTCAGTAACAGATCCATTCACCTAAAGCCTGGAAGAGATTCAGTTGAACATCCAATCTTACTTCCTCCATAACACATGAAAGAACTTTACCTAATGCTTGTTGCATCGATCTCATAATTCATTTGAAGTTATAGCATAACATTTATAAAGATTCCACCCTGAAATAGATATCAAACTCATGGACAAATGTCTATTGTTACATCCTGTCTATTACAATACATGCAGAGAGAAGTAGTTAGCAGTGTTGGTCTGAAGTCAGGCTGATATATTTGCACCTGGTAGACTATAGACAAATTAGAGCTGTATAGCATAAGCTTTTGTGAGCTGACTTCATTGACAGTTATAACAGGATTATCTTGAAATTCAGAGATGGGAATATGTCACAACAGAGCTATTTATTCATTATCATTTTATTTTAATTGTTTTTTATTTATTTATTTAGAAAGGAATTATCTTTAAGTCCAGGTAGGTTTGAATACCTGAACATCTGTATTTATTAGGGCTGTACGAAGCTTTGGTCGCTGATTTGATTTGGCAGAGATTTCGCCAGATTTAGCAGCCGAATCTCTGAATCCAGATTGAAATCAGGAGACCATTTAAGCTCTCCAAATCGAACTTGAATCCTTTGAATCAGAACCCTTTGAATTGATTTGGAGAGAGTGGGACATAGACACAGCTTTATATGTTTTTTCTACATACCTCAAGGTACCAGGCGGCTTGTGAACGCTGAGATGCTGAGGCAGATGGAGCATCCCACAGGAATGTGGGGGAGGGCAGGGTGTCCCCAGCAGACCCAGAAGTAGACCAGAAGGACTTCCAGTCCACTTCTGGGTCTGCCACAGAGCATGCAGGGGACCCCCCCCCCACACTCCACACCCCCCAGCTTGGTCACTGGTGCCTCTTGGGTCTGGGGGGCACCCAGGGTTACCCCACAGCCAACTGCCAAACCAAGGGCATGTGGGGGGTCCCACACTGAGCACGTGCCCCCCCATGCTCCAGTGGGATGCTTCAACCATCCCACCATCTCAGTGCTCAACAGCCATGCCTAGTACCTTGAAGTATGTAGAAAAAGCATTTAAACTGTGTCTGAATCACTGATTCCCCAAATCAGCATCAAAACTTCAGCTTTGGATTCGGTCGAATTGAATTAGGACAGTGATCCAAATCAACAAATCAAATCACTGTCCCCCAAATTAGGCTGAATCAAATCAAATATGGCCCACTTCAGACACCCCTACTATTTAAGATGGTATTCTGCACACATGTATATGGACAAGTGGCCAGCAATAGCATCTACAAAAGCACAAGGTCATTCGCAGACATTGAAATAATCATGCAATGGGTTCTGATACTGCAGTCTCAAGAATTGAGCCTCCTGCCATGCCACATGTCCCTTGCAGGATGCACAATTATAGGTATCAGGGACAGATCCCAATTAGTCGAGTGATGGCAGCTTTGCTGCCAGTTGCAGTGGAAGAGAGACTCCTTCGGGTGCTGGGTGTAGGGATCAAGGCTTCCAATTAGCAGAGCTAAGGTGCTTTTGTATGTGGGGTTTAAAATCCCCAGCAGGGGGATCCCCTTAGTTCTGCCTATTGGGAGTCCTGATCCCCAACACTCAGCAGCCCCAGGAGGTTTAAACTCTCTGCAGCTCCCCCTCCCTTGGAACCAGGGCTGCCCCTGTGGCTGGTGACAACAAATCAGATTACTAGAGACCCAGAGCTGTCCCAGGCTAGTGTAGACAATCAGCTGGTTGTCAGCTCTTGGCTGGTTGGACATCCAGGGCTATTAGGGGCTGATTCTGACAAATCAGGTCCTAGGCATGTATATGATATATGGACTTGCCACACATTCAATTTCAGGCACCAAAAAAACCAAATCTCAAAGATGTTCAACTTGACATATGGAACATCTTTGTGGCTGGTTTGCCATTTTATGGTCCTTTAAAATGTTACTGTTGACATTATGGCATAACTAACCTGTGAATTGCACCATAAATGTCATGTGTGCCAGGAGCCTTAATCTTTCTTTCATTCCTGATTCTTAAACATTGTGCAACTGGACTAAAACTCTCATTGTATCATGTTGCATTATAGAGACATAGACAGATATAGTTATTTCCAAAATAACTGAAAAATACAAACCAAGTTGCTGCTGTATGAGAAGCAAATAGACCTTTGATTGCAATAACAAATCCCCTAAGCAAAGTTGAATTAATATCACTCTTCCTTTATTAGATTTGAATTGATTCAAACTTAATCTAGTGAGGCAAGTCTATCAAGTGATCATTTTTATGCATAATTCAAGGATTATGCTGTCACCAGCAAAAATCAGCCTTCATAGTGAGAAACTAAACTAAGCCTGAGGGGCTGAGGGCCTAGAGGCAATATGCTAAGGGGTGAAGGAATCACTCTGGTGGACTATGGCAGGCTCCCAAATTTAAAATAAAAACAAAGGTGTGGCAGGAGAGCACAGGGAGGTAACCCTGGTTTACCAGAGAGGAGAAGAAACAGAACTGTAGCGACGTGTAGTGAGGTGCCACGTCTGCCTTCAGTGGTGGTTTCCATTATACCAGGGATGGGCAAAATATAGCCCATAGGCCAGATCCAGTCCACCAATTGATTGGATCCAAGTCACAGGATCCAGAGCTCTGCTTCAGGCTGAACCCCACCACCCACTCCCCCCCACCATCCAGGTTAGCCTGTGCCTTGCTCCCAGCCATGCCCACCAGCCCTGGTCCTGGCCAGCACACACAGCTTCCCACCAGGGCTGCTCCCGATGTCATGTAGGTACTGATCAGTTCCCCTCACCCCCGCTTCCCGCGGCTCCTCCTGTCCCTGCTGCATTGCTTCAGGTCAGGGGGAAACCTGCAACCTGATGGCTTCTGCCCGCCTCCTACCCACCCACAACCCGCCCCCACCCCCACACAGTATAAAACTTTATTTTGAGCTGTTATGCACCTCTATATACACTACTCAAAAAACCCCATAAATCAGGACAATTTTTTCAAAATAAAATTAAAATATTTTATCTTAGGTGTTTGATTTTTAGTATACAATTTGTTTTTATCCAGGATTTGTTAAAAAGGTATCTTCTAAAAGATTGTGTGTGTGGCCCTTGACAGCTCACCTAAACTTGTCAAGTGACCCTTCAGCCAAAATAATTTCTCACCCCTGTATTATACCCATAGCGTAACTGAGGAGGGATGACCAGGACAGCAGGCTGTACCACCTTTGGGAAAGGGTGCAAAACTAGCTGCCACTGTATCTGGTGACTGGCTACGCTGCTGCAACCAGAAGTATAGCAGCCTGTGCTGCCCAGAGGACAAAGCTGCCCTTTACCCCTCTGGTGCAACCTGATGGCTATCTCTGTCAAAAGGTATAACACTATGTAATGTGTCTGTGTTGTTGGAGAACAGAGGTGAGAGGGCTCATATAGAGGGAATTGAGCCGTCTTAACTCTATCCTCCATTATTGGTTTAAAATGTTTCACTTACAAATGAAAGATTAAAATATTAATGAGCCATACTAGTGAAACAGCAGCATCTACAGAGGCTGTGACTGTCTAACATGGAGTAATACCAAAAGAAAAGAAATTGTACCTTTAAAATGATATAGATGATGACAATGATGATTAAGTGGTCAGAGATAAAAGAGGTAGATGGGCAACTGGAGTTGTTTCATGCTTTGTTTAAAGTTTCCATTACTGGTAAAAGTCAAAAAGAGGATTTTGGACTAGATGAGTTAGTATTCTGGTCTTATAACCCTTACAGTCCTAAAATTAAGAGGCATCCATTGGGTTGCATGAGTGGCCATGTTAGGCACAAAATAGACAGTAGCATACCTAGGGCAGGGCAACCAGGGCTGCTGCCCCAAGAGTATACTTTCTGGGTGAGAGAAGGGAAAAAAATGTGTAATTATACTGGAAGCATGAAAACAACTATCTGCATGTGCTGCAGCTTCCCCAGCACCCAGTTGTGTTGTTACACCTCTAAAAATACATTAATGTCATGTACTCTTATTGCTGATGGTGGAAGGAGGTGCATAATGGAGATGCAAAGAGCTACAGTCAGTCATATAGAGTACAATGAGGCCTACTCACCTGAAAAAGGTGAACAGACATCAGTAACAATGTCAGCACCAATTCTTAATATGATTTACCACACTTGCACTCCAAATAATCATGCAGTAAGAAAAAGTATTCCATTAACTAATTCCATTTCTATAGCGATGGAAATGTCAATGAGCAAGGCTCACAATACCTACTGTTGGAAGGTTTGTAAATGGGACCCTGCAAACCATTCCCAGCATGGTCATTCCCTCCACCCATACATCCCACAGGTCACTGTAATGTTGCAGGTAACTTTATGCTGGTCCACCACAACAGGGTGAATAGCATGTTCATTGGTATCGTTTGGGCTGGAAGGTGGGGGAGGACAGGATTTCCCATCATGTTGAACAGATGCTTCTAAGTAGAAGCAACTGTACAAAGAACCTGCTGCTGTACCAGTATCATCCAGCAGATGTCTCTGCAAGTCAATATAGGATAGCAACTTCCAAGTACAGTTAAATGGTTAGAAATT